TATATATATATATATATATATATATATATATATATATATATACACAATGTATACATTCACAAAATTATTATTCTTATTTTTGTTTACAATAACTTTTTTTGTTACATATGTTTATATGAGTGTTGCATGCTTTTGGTCTCATTCGGCAGCGAAAATCTGTTTTTTTTTTATTATTTAATTATACATCACCACTGTTACATGGATGTGATGAACGTAAAATCTGCCTTTATAAATTCTAGTTAATTTATACAGTATCTAACTCAGTTATGTTATAAATGACTGTTAGTATGCCAAAGATGTTAAAGACAACATTTCAAAGATTCAGGCTTAGCATTTTCTGAATAAATGAGTAAAAATCAATAAGTATTAAACTATGCTCTCCCTTACACCACACACACTCATAAGACTGTAGTGCTATAAAATTAGCGATACAAGACATTATATAATGATTCATAGTTATTTCATTTATACATTTGACAGATGCTATTAACCAAAGTGAAAGTGCATTCAAAGCATACATTTATCAATACGTGTTGCTTTGGGATTGATTTCACAATCTTTTCTTTTTAGCACCATGCTCTTAGACTTCAGCTACAGGAACACATTTCAGAAACTTCCCTGGCTAAAATTTTAGATTTTATAATTTCTTATTTTTTTTCTGAAGAATGGCAAACATCAATAGTGAGTATAAATTCCTGGGTTGCTGCTCACATTGCATTTTTGTGGTGTCAACAATCATGATTAGATAAACACAAAACCACATTTGGTCTTCAACCTTCGGAAACTGCGAAATTGGCCACATTGAGACCCCCATATCTCTGGAACCGAGCCATACAGGGCCTTAAAAATGAATATACCAAAAGAAAAGTTTGTTAATATTTAGAATCTAAAAGGATATTGAAATATCTTTAGCACATCTTGAGGGCATGTTTAATTTGGGAAGTTGCAGCCATGCAAACTTTTGAACTGTCACCATTGGTGTCTAATGCAACAAAGATGGCTAAAGTCAACAGATTTTACTAACAGACCTACCAATCTCTGTGCAAAAGTAACATAACGATGCTGCCATCTTTCTAAAGTCATTTTTACCCCTCTGTAATTTGGCTCCAAATCTCGGGTGAAAATTGTCATTTTGTCCCCCTTTACAAAATAGTGGATTTCCCAGTAAATATTCATACATGACATTTAACATGTTGTCTTTCTTCTTCATTTACGTATCTCTTTCACCAGAAAACAAAAATAGCTGGGGACCTCTAGTTGACTTGACATGCAATGACCCAAAAGTTAAATGAATGTGAGGGAACTATGCACTAAACAGCATTGGCTTTTCAAATTCATTTAAAAACTAAAATAAACCAGCGAGTTTGAAATAGAATACAGAACTCAAAATGAAAAAAAATAATGCAGACTTACCTAGGAAAGCGGAGATTGACAGCATGAAGCCAAACACACAGCGTTCAGGAACCTCAGTGCCCGTGTCACTATACAAACAAAATAATAAATGCACAGTTTGACAGAAATAAAACATAGTATGATTTTGAAGCAGTCGACTAAAGCTGAAAGATTAAGATGGTATTTCACAGAATGTCCCTGATCTACAGCCATCAAAGTGATATTACATTTTTTTTAAAAATGCATGCTTTATTTTCACCTCGTACATTCCAAGTATTCATGCAACAAGGTCTCTCTTCATAAAATGTTTCTCCAAGCCTAAAATGATGCATGACTCCTCATAGACATCTAGTAGAAATGAAACTGAAAAACGTACCTTATGTATGGAACGAGTAGGTCGGCATGGCCCAACACGACCGCTGTGGCATAAGAGACGAGGAATGTAGCAGATGACCAGATAACCAGAGCCACCGGGAGAGCACAAAGCCCCCGCTGAAACCACCACATGCTGCCCTCACATACAGATATTCACTCACAGAGATCACCAACATCAAGAACAATCAGTAACACATACAACATCAGCTTAAAGGTCAAATCAACCCAACAGACAGAAAGTTATACATAGACATACACACACATTGAGGGGAGGATGCACATCAAAACTGAACAAACACAAGACTCAGAACGCCCTCAGGCAAACAGAAATAAGGGGACGTCTGGCCAGCTGAGACTCAGCATCAACCAATCAAATGGACATCAACGTCATCTGGTGAAGCCGAATTAGTCACACAGAAATGAATGTTCACAAACACAGACATGTAAAGAGATAGATCAGAGGTGGTTAGAGTGGGTTAGTGCCTCTAAAATCGGAATAATCGCATGTGGTTTTTGTGATGCTCTCCCTAAAGTCCTGTGACCAAAGTCAGCTGACACTCATTCAGCGTGATTTCACTTTCTGCGCTCACAAAATGTAAAACTCTCTCTCTCACACACACACACACACACACACACACACACAGTTGTCCTCTGCACACGGTGGCTTACATATTAGGATGAACTTCATGGAAATAAACAATAAGATGTCCAAAATATAAAGGAAAAAAAAAAAAAAATGAAGGACCATAACATTCTTTTGCATGGTGATATTATTATTCTTTTTTCTCTTTTCATGAAAATGAATTTTGTTGATTTAGTAATTTTCATTAGTTTGTTTAACTGTTAAGTATGTCTGTATAGTTTTTATAAAAATTTTTTATTTCAGTTAGTTTATTAGTTATTTGAGAAATGTTGTTTTGTCAACCAGCTGAAATGAACAAAATTTAAGATTTATTTTTCTATTTTATTTGAAGTAACAATAATGTTTTATTTTTTTTATCTTATAGTTAACTTTAATAACCCAGATGGTTTTTAATTAAAAAAAGCAGAAAACAAGATGTACTGTATTACAGAAGTGAGAATTATGGTAATGATAATTTTGTAAGAAAATATAAATAATGTCCTAATAGGCCTATGTATTATATGCATTTTGACACAAAAGATTTATGAGTTTCAGTTTTGTTTAAGGTGTTTAAATCAACAGTTTTACAGTAACTGTAGAGTAAGTGCATGGATTTAATGTGGATTAAAAGGCCCCATTTGGAAAGAGCCACTTTGGTCAGAAAGGCCACAGCAAACACTGTTAGGCTGGTTAGAGTTTGGAGGCGGTAAGGCCCACATTAACTGCTGCACAATAGAGATGATTCATTAATGAATGCTGTATGAATGTAGCTGAAAATACACACTGTTCATTTACAAAAAGCACAGTACTGGAGTTCTTATAAGATACTTAAGGGGTTATGAAATTACCAATGTGACTTAAAGAGAATATTTACTGATTAGAAGCATGTATGTTGCTCCAAATTGATTAAATATTTCTAAAAACTACTTTTTTAAAGTTTCAGTAATTTTGTTTTGTTTGCGTCTTTATATTATTTTAATGTGTCTATATAGTTTTTATTATTTTATTTTATTAATTTGAAAGTTTTAGTCTTTTTTATATGGTTTTAGTTATGGCATGTCCAAAACCATGGTACATTTTTGCTAACATAACTATACTAAAACAAACAGGCAGTGATCAAGAAATCTGTTAACATAAATATGACATTCTTTATTTCATGGCCATTAGTCTATTACAAAGTAAAGTATTTGCTGTAAATCAACAAAAATCCTGGTTGAGGTACAAATTATACATGTATTGTAGATGCAGTGACAGACAATTTTCTTCAACTATGTGTGTATTGCAGCTTTGGTTGACCTCAGAGCGGCTCGGGTGAACGGGTGACGTATTTAAAAAATACAAATAAAAAGGGAGAAACACACATACACAGAAACCCACTTAAATAACGTTCACAACAGGATTAAAACATTTTCAATAAAAGTCTCAAACCGAGAGACTAAAAAAAACAGGTACGAGCAACTGCTCGGAGGTAGATGCAAAACAATAACATATTTTGAGAAATTTACATGGAGGTCGGCCACTCTGTTCATATTCTACGCTTGGAAGCACCCGATACAGAACCGCAGCGTTAAGGCCCGTTCACACCAAGCACGATAACTAAAGATAGCGATAAAGATATAGTTCTAAAAATCGTTCTCAATATCTGCGCTCACAAAATGTAAAACTCTCTCTCTCACACACACACACACACACACACACACACACACACAGTTGTCCTCTGCACACGGTGGCTTACATATTAGGATGAACTTCATGGAAATAAACAATAAGATGTCCAAAATATAAAGGAAAAAAAAAAAAAATGAAGGACCATAACATTCTTTTGCATGGTGATATTATTTTCATGGCAATTTAACAATAAGCACATAAAAAATGTATAATGTACTTTTTAACTATAAAAACTCAATTTAAAAAAAAAGGTTTCACAATGAACAGATTTAAGTGGATTCTACACAATCTGAACAAATGCATTTTGAAAAATATAAAATCAAATACATGCAAAGTGTTACCTATTCCATGCCATTTCATTTATGTATAGGCTAACGGACAAATATGCATTCACATTAAGTTTATAACTTCAAAACCTAAATATTGGCCTAAACATTTTGAGTGTGACATAAAAAAAAAAAGTATGAAAAATTTTGTTTTTAAGAATAGCATAGTTCACACCACAACTATAACGCTAAAGGCCCGTTCACACCAAGCACGATAACTATAAAGATAACGATAAAGATATAGTTCTAAAAATCGTTCTCAATATTAAAGAATAGCATAGTTCACACCACAACTATAACGGTTAAGGCCCGTTCACACCAAGCACGATAACGAAAGATAGCGATAAAGATATAGTTCTAAAAATCGTTCTCAATATTAAAGAATAGCATAGTTCACACCACAACTATAACGATAACGATAGAGGAACGACATCGTTGTGATCACTTTCAAAACGATTTTTTTCCCCAGCTGATGAACGATAAAACACTGACAGCCAATCAGAATCCATCCTGCTGTAACGAGCTCAAGAATTTAAAGCGGCAGACGCATGTGCGCTTAGAATAAACAGACGATATCGTTCGCTGGTGTGGACGCTAATATCGTTATCTTTATAGTTATCGTTCTTGGTGTGAACGGGGCTTTAATGTCTATTGTTTTGCAATATAATTCTGTCAAAAAATCCAGTTTTCTCTAAAAACAAATTGGCATGAAGGTAAAATATATATAATGACTGATTTCAGATTGCTAATTTAATAACGCAACATGCAGGAATATGAAATTGCATCCTTGTTGAGTATGATGCTTACAAACAAAATATGGTTTACACAAGAGGTTAAAAAAATATCAAAATCGCTGAGTCCAACTTTTACTGTGCATAGAGGAGTATACCGACAGTGACAAATAAAAGGCACAAAAATAAATTAGCACAGGTTCACATTAACTAAAGTATTTAGACCACAAACACTGATTTTTAGGTTTTAATGTCTGTTATTAAGGGTTCATATATGTACAGTGTAACTCACTTATAACCATTCTAGATGTCTATCTTGGCCCCAGTTATTATTAGGAAAATACAGCACTATCAAAATACTGTTTATAATACAGTTTTTATCATTTAGTGACATTGGCAAACCTAAATAACAATAATAATAATAATAATCCCCTTCAAAACACTACAAACACAAAGTAACAAATGCATAGAAAGAAAAATTATACTGGCAACAGTGATACTGGCGTTTAAGTTTCAATTTTGACATTTCATTTTGAAGTGAACGGCTGGAAAGTTTCCAGTTAACGCCTATAGCGTTCTGTAATTACGAAATTACATTCAGATGGATTGTTGTCTGTTAATGGAATGAATTCTACACTGCTGGGCAAAATACTTGGTGCAAAACAAAACAAAATGAACAGAAACAAAACAAACATTTAAACTGTAAAATAATTTTTTTTAAACATTCATAGTTGTGGCCTCTGTGGCAAATCTTTCTATGGCAAACAAAATCGGTCATCTAACAACAAAATACTGACAACTGAATGTCGTTCTAACCGTAGGATGTATATTCTGTTTAATATTCCCTTTCATCCTTCAAATATCCTCGCTCTTCATTATGAGAACAAAGTTCATAACTGCAGCCATTTGGGCTCGGTCTCTGTGAGCTGTGTTTTACATTCACTGAAGTGCGTGACCTACTGGAGGTGTTTGTGGGAGAGGGGACGCGAGGTTAGTGGTGATTTCTGCTGTCTGCCTGAACTCTGGATGGAGACGGAGGCTGGATGCTGAACACACGGATGTTTAAGTGTGTGGCGATCTGGTTACAGACACTCACGCAGTACCGCACCAGATCGAACGCTGACAGCACCTACAAACAGAAAGGAAAAAGCTAAAGCATGGCAAGATGAAAAATTGAAAAGCAGCGAACTGCATGAGCTTTTTTTTTTTTTTTAAGAGGTATGCTTTTTTGGGTTAAATAAAGGTGAAGATCATGCACTGTGTACAGTTAAAAAAAGTTCAGATCTACACTTTTATACAGCTTGTCCCCTTCTGATTATAATATTAGTTAAGGTGTCTAGAACCAAAAACAGTCATCATTTATTTTTTTCCACCCTCTCTCTGACCCTTAGAGCTATATGCTACTGTAACTTTAAGACTTCTATACTTCTGATATGATTAACAAGTATCTTCACAAGTGGTACGAGTAATAAGGAGATGAATACTAAATAGATGAATGAAATGGTGAAATGTTAAAGTCAATGTGAAACCCCATTCACAATGCATTTTACTTCTGTTGTCAGACATATTTCAAGGCGAAACAGGATGTTCAGTGAAAAAAATATATATATATTTGGACATACATACCTATGGAGGTCTGTTTCCGCCAGTGAATAAAAAATAAAAAAGGCAATTGCGACTTTACATCTTGCAATTCTGACTTTTTTCACAGAATTGCATGATATAAACTCACAATTGCGATTTATAAAGTCAGAATTGTGGGATATAAAGTTGCAATTGCATGTTTCAGACTTTTCTATTAAGAGTTTAAATCAGGCAATTCTGACGTTTTTCTAGCGATTGCGAATTTCTATCATGCAATTCCGACTTTGTAACTCACAATTATGAGTTTACATTTCACATTTCTGACTTTATAAATCGCAATTGTGAGTTTATATCACACAATTCTGAAAAAAAAAAAAAGAATTGAGATAAAAAGTTGCAATATATTATTTTCATTCAATGGCGGAAACGGGCTTCCATACATACCTCAACGTGTTTGTTAAAATCGTGTAAATAGATCAAAGTTATTTCAGAGGAAGAGCAGGTTATTATATTATAGATTTCTTTTTAAATTTGAAATCATGTGCGTAATTGCGCATATTATGACCAGGAAAGTTTATCAAGAATGTAAATCGTGGCAATTCTGATATCATGTTGATTTGAATGTGCTTGTAATTGTGACGTCAAGACCATGAGGGTTTCTGAATGACCTTTGTTTCAACTTAGTTTCAATAACTAGTCTCAGCAGACCGTGTAAGAAGCCATGCGATGTGAAAATCAAAGCATATCTACATACTACACTGAGCTCTTTATTTCAAAAGAGCAAGGAAAATCCATGTTTTCAGACAGATGTTACACGTACCAGAGCGACCCACAGAAGACAGTACTCATTGATGAAACTGTTGAAGTACTGGTTCAGAAACAGCAGCGCTGGTCCGGTGAAGGCCAGGTCGTTACGATGCATTTCACTCTTTGTCATATGAGCAACCTAGAAAACAAAGCAGATGTGACTGTAGTGACATTTACATTAACTGATGCTAATGCGGTTTGGGTGTGACAGATGTCTAACTACAGACAACAATGTTTAGTATTTATATCAAAATATGCATAAAATCTTACCAACAACATATTTATGCTTGCATGCAAGCCATAATTCTTCCTACCAGCTATAAAAACCAAGCAAAGTCTAAATGTTCAGGTAGAGATGTATCAATAATCTGCCAACAGTATTCATACAGAATGTGTTAGAAGCAGTTTAATTTAGTACTTATTAAAGTGAAGCTGAAATAAATACAGTATACTGATGTCCTTCAGGATCTTACCACCAGTCTGTTGGTGAGTTTGGCTGAGACACATCCAAACGCTAAGATGTAGAGACAGGGACGTTTCTCGAATAGCTGCACTGATGACTTCTTAAAGATATAATAATTAATTCCCTTACAAATGAGTTAATTTCATTACAACACACACATTTTTTTTTTATCTGCACTGCTACGTCTGTATAGTATATAGTGCATTATTTAAAGGGGTCATATGATGCTGCTAAAAAGAACAAACGCTAAGATGTAGAGACAGGGACGTTTCTCGAATAGCTGCACTGATGACTTCTTATAGATCATTAGAGCAAGTGTGATTACCACTCCTATATGGAAGGATGGAGACAAAACGCTTGTTCCCTAATAAAAGAAGGAAAACAGTCATGTGATTAATTTAGAGAGACATATAGTAACAAGATTTGTTTTGATAATTAGTTCACATCATGTATGTTTAACAATGCATATGTCTGATCCATACTAGATGAAAAAATGTCTGATACATACTACATAAAACATGATTGCTTATTCATTATTTCAGAGCAGTTTTCAGTCACTCATTTCACAAACAAAGATATTTTATACTTATGCTTTAGCTGAAATTATATATATAAAAAACATTTAGGTCGGTCCAGTTGACTTGAGTAAACTAATTTTAAACAATTACATTTTATTTCAATTAAAAAAGTAGTTTACTTTTAGAATTACAAATACATTAAATAACACAAAATTATGAATTTTTACATCCAAGCAATGAACGACAGTGTTTGTCACTATGCATTTTAGTTTCATTTTCATTTCTGTTTAGTGGTGCAGAAATCACCCACACTTTATTTTTTAACTTACCGCAATAGTAGATCCATTTTTGCCCATTCCGCCTGTAAATATAACCCGGAAATAGTTTGTGCAGGAGAAAATGGCACCCAGAAGAGTGCAAACGGCCGGTATTATTTTAATCTGGATATTTATCACAGGGATCTGAAAGATTGAAAACAAATCTCTCATATCCTGTTCCCAGTCATCACATATATGAGTGCTTTTCATTGGGATTCTGCATTTCACTGAACACATGAAACATGCAAGAGAATCAAATTTCCTGACTGACCATGATATGCAGATTTAACATGTTGAACATATGGTCTAACCATATGACCAAAATATGAAAGAATTAAGATTGATTTAAATTACCACAGATTGCCAAAAAGCTGTTCCTCCAATGGCAGCCAGTAAGTACATGATTATAATGAAGATTTGAACCTCAGTCACATCAATTCTGCACAAGCAAAAAAGTGATTAAAAGATTAAATAAAACTAGTTAATTATTAATCTCGCTCAATTCTTGCTTTTCCTGTTCTTTCTGTAGTCCTTTATCTACAGTACAACAGCTGTCTGAAAGCTGCTGGTTTCCCATGAGCAGAACAGAACGTTCAAATATAATTTCTGTGTACTGAACGTGAAGTACAGGTGCCATTTATTATGAGTAAGAGAAGAGTTTTTACTCACATGCCAAAGCGCAGCGTTCCAGAAACATACGTCTGCCAGTGGGCACAATAAAACATGAAGATGCCCACAAAACAACAGAAAAACATCCAGTCAGGGTGAGTGCCCAGCTGCACTGCTATACAGGAGCCCAGGACCACAAACACTGCATCAGGGAAAGACACAAATATATATAAATATATACACATACACACTGTAAGGCATTTGCGAACATCACACCAATGAACGATGGAATCTCCGCATTCCATCAGAAGACTAACATCTCTTCTCAACCATATGAGAGTCGTAAAAGCTGAACCATGGTCAGCCCAGGCGCCAACTTTCTAATTAAAGTTACGCCTTCTTTCTTTGCGTGAACCTTTGGGCGGCGTTATGCAAATCTTCCCACATCGTGACGTAGACATGTGGGGGCGTGTTAGAACGAGCCGTTTTAGGTAGGCGTGGTTGACTCTTAACTTTTATAAAGAATATCTCTTTGGATTTGAGACTTTAGTCTTTGCAACTTTACAGATCTTCTTTATGCACCAAGAGCTTGTAACACTCCAAAGAGAAAGGAAAAATTTTAACATCATATATTTTCTTTAATTTTCTGTTTTTCTTATATTAGTGTTATATTCCATTTCTACTGTGTTATTCCTATGTATGTCTGCACTATGTCTGTACTTTCTTCTGCACTGGAAGCTCTTGTCGTCAAGTCAAATTCCTTGTGTGTGTAAACATATTTGGTAATAAAGCTCTTTCTGACTTCTGATATATGCGTGTATATATATATATATATAGGGATGCACAGAAAAGCAGCCCAGAAATTAGACCAGAAACTGTTATTTTAACATCCAATAACAGAATCTTTCAGATAATAAACATGTGCGTACATGTGAAATTGGATCTAATAAAATTGATGGATGATACATTTCTGAAAAAAAGCTCTAAACTATTTTTACACAATATTTTTAAAAATAGAACACCAGTCCACGTTATTCTAGTAAGAAATACATTATAATATAAAAATAAATAATTTTAATATTATAATAGAATAGAATAGCTTTTTATAATAGACAAATTTTTATATACAATTTTTTGGTTTTTAAGCCCAGTGTGTCTAGAAGAATTTTTTGTGTCTAGAATTTTAGGCTTCAGCCAATATAATTTATCATCTGTTTATATTGATAGATCATACATTTTGATCTATACATCTCTACTCAAATGTACACTACCAGTCAAAAGTTTTTGAAAAGTAAGATTTTTAATGTTTTTTAAAGAATTCTCTTCTGCTCACCAAGCTTGCATTTATTTGATACAAAATATAGCAAAAGCAGTAATATTGTGAAATATTTTTTACTATTTAAAATAACTGCTTTCTATATGAATATCATTTAAAATGTAATTTATTCCTGTGATCAAAGCAAAATTTTCAGCATCATTACTTCAGTCTTCTGTGTCACATGATCCTTCAGAAGTCATTCTAATATGCTGATTTACTGCTCAAGAAACTTATTATTATTATTATTACTATTATCAATATTTAAAACATTTGAGTACATTTTGTTCAGGATTCTTTGATGAATAGAAAGATCCAAAGATCATCATTTATCTGAAATAAAAAGATTTTGTAACATTATATAATATACCAGGGGTCTCCAATCCTGCTCCTGCAGATTTCAGCTCCAACCTCTATCAAACACACCTGAAGCAGCTAATCAAGGGCTGTGTCCGAAATCGCCCCCTATACCCTCATTCACTATTCCCTACATTAGGTCACTAATTCAGTTCACTAGAAGGAGTGAATGAAAACGAGTAGTGAATTCGGACACTGAGTGCACCGGAAGGAATGCCGCTTTTGCATAGTTTTTGCTTGCTGTTTATTAATCATTTGAAACTAGCAAACTAGCAGCTCCAGTAGTAAGATTAAAGGATTTATCTTGAACTCTGTCACGGAAATTATGTATAAACCCTAATCAAACAATTTAATAATCAATTTACAATGAATTTATACCCGTGTTGTACATTATGCTGTACGCCATGGATGAGCGCTTTGTAAAAATGAACGGATTGATTATTCAGCTGCGGGCGCCATCTTCTGGCGAGATGCGGGAATTCATTCGGCGCGTGACTCTCACGGTGCATTATGGGCATTCTCTAGCCGTTGAGCGTGCACCAGTTGTACACTCGTTTTTGCAGTGCATTGTGGGATTGAATGAGTGCACTCGAGAACGTCCAGTATGGTTTCGGACACCACTAAAATGGCTGTTCCCTCAAATAGTGCCCTATTTAAGGGTATAGGGGGCGATTTCGGACACAGCCAAGGTGTTCAGGGCTACTTGATAATTACAGACAGGTGTGTTGGAGCAGGGTTGGAGATCCTTGCACTACACCATTCAAAAGCCTGGAGTCAGTTTTTTGGAAAATAAATTATAGAAATTAATACTTTTATTTGGCAAGGATGCATTAAATAGATCAAAAGTGATGATAAAGACATTTATAGTGTTACATAAGATCTCCATTTCAGATAAATGCTGTTCTTCTGAACTTTCTATGCATCAAAGAAACCTGAAAAAAATTCTACTCAGCCGTTTTCAACATAATAATAATAAATGTTTTTTGAGCAGCAAAATAGAATATTAGAATGATTTCTGAAGGATCATGTGACTGGAGTAATGATGCTAAAAATTCAGCTTTGAAATCACAGGAATAAATTACATTTTAAAATATATTAAAATAGAAAGCAGTTATTTTAAATAGTAAAAATATTTCATAACATTACTGCTTTTGCTGTATTTTGGATCAAACAAATGCACGCTTGGTGAGCAGAAGAGACTTCTTTAAAAAA